AAAAACAACAACAAAATAAAACTTCTTCAAAAAAGAGATCATTCGGACGTAGTCTTGACTTTTCAGATGTCAACTGCGTGGTGGCTCCCTGGCGGTGGTAGTGGAGGAGGTGTGCCGCATGCAATGATACGTTGTTTAACACATTGACGACCGCTTGACGCACATACTTCATCGATAAACAAAGCACGTATAACTCCTCTAAGCGGTCTTGAAGGGTGTTGTCACGACATATGGTGTCGTATGGTCACGACATTTTGTCGTGACCAAATCCGTTAGTAGGAATTTGAGCCTCAGATGTAACGATGCTTCTCCATTGCGTGTGCGTGATATTTCGGAGAAATTTAGCCTGTGCAGAAAGCTTCTTGGAGATTCGCGGACGAGATCACAAAACCATTGTGCGCATGGCTGTACCGCATGGCTGAAAATTTTAGACTCCAGCACTCAAAGCTGTGATTGTTCCACTTTGTGACAATAATGCTTGACACTGATCAAGTTCGGTAACCCTTGTCGAAAAAGAAATCGGAACACACAAGCGTACTAAGATAAGCGTCTCAATTCAAAAAGCGAAAAAACCAAGTTCGTGCTCGCTCTCGCGCTCGGTGGAGAAAACTGCGTGTCGCTGCCGCATCGCCGATCAGGGTACGCTTGTACGCTTCAAATTCGTCACCCCTGCGTCATTGGAGCACGTTGTAGCTTTATTTTGTCTTTTGATAGTGTTTCTTTTTCTCCTTCAAGAGCTTCACATGAACGCGTCATGGCAGCGCTACCTAATTATCTGCGTCGCTTTCAATGATATTTGGATCACCATCGTCGTGGAAGTGTAGGCTGTGTTGAAAGACAGAGGATGATGCCCGCTGCTTGATAGCCTTTACGCCATGATTTTGTGCCTTCCTCTTCTTTGGCTTTCCATTGCGCGTTCCTTTTATTTGGCTTTCCACGAAAAGGGCTTTCCACGGTTTAATTACCCAAGTTTGAGAATTGAAAGCCATGGCTGGAATCGCAGCTGGACGTTTAACAGAAAAGCGTAAGGCATGGCGTAAAGACCATCCCTTCGGGTTCATAGCGAAACCCGTAAAGAATCCCGACGGAACCCTCAATCTCTTCAAGTGGGAATGTGCCATACCAGGCAAGAAGGACACGATATGGG